AAGTGAGTAAATTATATCGAAACCTTGCAATCAATTCCAGAAGTTATAGCTCAGTTTTTACTTTCTCCGATGAATCATCCCCAACTATGATTTCTCATTCGTCTACTGTTTGACAGGTGCCCACTGATTATCTCAATTTGGCTCCATTAGTTTAAAACGATACCATTCTTACCGGTTTGCTGTTATACAATTAGATTATCAGATTTACAAGTTTTAGCGTATTACGAAACGCGGATATCGTTTTTAGTTTTCATTTTCTAAGACAATGTTGTATTGTGTGACGATATCAATAACAAAGATACATGATACGATTGATTATGAAACTAAACTTGAAAACGTTAAAAGTATAAAGTAACCTTGTTTATCACCACAAAGATGAAACGAAGGACATGTTGTGGTGTGTGGTTCCTATAATAACAATGGGATAGTGGATGTTGAAGAGCACTGACACATATACTTTTAAACCATCACAATAAATTGCTAGGCAGTCATCGTTTTATGGATGACAGTAATGCGCTTCAAGACCAGCCTATGGAACTAATTCACACGACATTTGTTCTTTTTTACGACACTTACCAATCATGTTCGTAGATCTATAAAACTGTCAGAGCACATTTGAATATCTTTATACAAATCGATAGAGATCAATACATGGACATCGGCTTATTTGACTATTTCGTTTAAAGTATATTCGCTTCACAGGGCGATGAACTTTTGACTAAACGATTAGACACGCTACATTGCACGACAATTTGTGTTTTAATATGTAAAATGTTTTAAAGATTAAGATTTGTGAATAACATTAATTCATTCGCGTTCCAAGCTGGAATAAGTCATACGGATAATAAGTATTTTGGTAAAACAAAAATATTCGAAATAAAGACAAAAATATGGTAAACATTTAAATGAAAGAGAAGGCAAAGAAATTCTTATAAGGGTAGCATATTTTTTTTTCTTCATACATAAACGTCGCGTCAGGTGTAACCGCAGCCATGCATGCCTGACAAATACGACCAATTAGACGACATTGGTAATCGTTAAATCAAAGTCGAGAGATGAAAGTGACTGATAATACTATCGGCTCCATCTAGGATGCTGGCTGAACGCCATCATGACGTGCCTTCGTGCATTGTACCCGTCTATTGTAGCCGGTCATGAGTAGATCATATATTCTGAGTGGAATGCAATCAGTTAAAAGTATGATTTGTAACTCGTTCCTACTTCTCGTTTCGTTAACTATGGTCCGAAATCAAAAATGTTAACTTTGTCGTTGAGATATTCTTCATAGACTGACATATTTTTTTAATGTCACTAGAAAAAAGGCAGATCAACTGATATTAAGTAATACTGGACACTCACAAGTGCGTTGGTGGCCTGTTAAGAATTATTACGATCTTTTCTTGAAGGACCCAAAGGAAGTAAGTCAAATCCTTCAGTGGGCACCTGGTTCCACATAGCCTTAAGAAACGCTCAGTTGTGGCACGGCGGACGTTGAGATGATGCGGATGGTATTTTGTGTTCTGCCTTGACGACCGATCAGCTGCTCTTAGATAGGAGACTAGATCTGTATAAGTCATGTACTACTAGAAACATTAGAACATGCTGTGCAAACTTAAATAAAAAGCAGTATGCAATAAAGCATACCATAGCCTTAATAATGCCACAATGTTATGCACAGTATGTCTTTAGGGGCCTCCACATCTCTCACTCAGCCTTGTCAGATGTGAGCGAACATTTAACCTTTAAAACAAATAGAGTTATCTGCTGAATATTCTAAGTCTTTGTATTCTTTATCAATACCTGTCGATAGATCATTAAATCGTGCCTAGTTATACGATGGATCTTGTCTGATTATATCTAAATGCTTTCACTGACCAATCAATAGTGATTCATTACAATCTATAATTGACATTAAATCTGCGATCACCGGAAAGGTTATTATGTTCCTAACCCTCCTGATTGAATTAGAAAGACGAAATTCTTTCCACTTTCTTTTATACGAGATGTGACTCAACAATTATAAGTTGCGTTCTTCACAAATTGTGATTAATGATTAGATATTATTTATGAAACAGGTACCAATATTGTATAATACGGAGTTTTACTATCAAGCTTCTATTTATCACTTTATGTCATCTATTACATGAAAGTTGACATTAGATAAATATTATTATTATAAATCGTCATAGTCGTAGAATAGTGACGGATCTGACAAACTTTATAGGGCAGCCATTTCAAAATAATATAATCATCATGTTAGTTTTTGTCATAATTATTTTAATTCATATTGTTATTATGAAAATTGGCATACAAGCATACAAAAGGGTTTGTTTTGAAACAAAATAAAAATAATAACATTAAATTACAGAGTTTCTAGAAAAATCACATGTTTCTATCAAATCCGTCACTTACCCGACTGATTAATTTGAAATTTAAACATGGAATTTTTTTAATGTAATCAATGTAGTATCCAAATATGATAAAAAGTGGATTTTGGATGTTTTTAAATCCGACATTGTTGTACGATCATGACGAAATACTGAGGAAAGTCATAATGTGATAAGAAATGGGAAGGCCTTCGTGTATAATGCAGTATATGTCAAGTACATTTAGAATTGAAACGCATGTAACATTAGAAATCCGAGGGAACCAACCTCATTGCAGGTGTCCGCTCATTTTCATTTCCTTTACTCAATCCAAGTATTTTGAAAAGCGAACGGAAAGTTGGCGCCGCCAATGCCGTAGCTAATACGTCCGAGCAATTCGATTTATTAGTTTTATCTTCGCATCGATACACCTGTAGATTTAATATAAATGGAGAGCAAGCAAAGAAACATTTATAACTTATTATGTAAGTGAGCTTGCCAATTATTTATTGCTTATTCTACCATTCTAACCGTCAACCGGATAAATTGTAACGAAATTATGTTCGTGCTCTTGAACTTGCCGGCGTTTTTACATTACGTATAGCCGGTAGCTAAATATCTGTTTCCGCTTGTTGCGCAAATCTAATTAGAGTTTTGTTAAGAGAGTTTAATTACACAAATTAGAGATTTGATGTGTCGCGTTAATGAAAGTTGAGTCTATAACATATCAGGCACGTCACATAATTTATTTAAATGTTAATTATTGGTTAAGCGTGCTATTCTCTTCTGAGATGATAGAACCCCGGCTTCATACTAATGGCTTTTTCTATATTTGCGCACATTTAAAAGTACTTCTAGCCTAAACAGAAGCAGAAGAGACGGCATTACCTTACTCCAGTGCAATGTATTGCTGCGACAGGTACATAACTACACAATTTATGGGATATACCATAACAGAGAAAAGCTTCAAAAAAATTTGGTTAGGAAGCTTAAAAGTCATTTTCTAAAATTTGCTGTACTTAATCATACTAGTGACAAAAGCTATTTTGTTTATTATAATATCTATACATAAGTTACTTAATACCTACGACCACAATATAGGCTGGGAATTAGCTAAAGAAATTATATAAGTATATAAAAAAAACCTCTCAAAAAGACGTGCATTATGCACAAAAGAATTATTATAGCGTCGTCTATATATATATTATATAATATGATAGCTCTACACACCATGCTTCACAAGTAACTGTTCCCATCAAGTAAACTTCCCCTTTAAGACTGAAGCAGCAGGTTTTTTTAATCAAGATTTTACTTGTCATTTTACATATGGCCTAGCATTAAGACGTTATCAGACACACGTGGGTGTAAATGCAACTCGTGCGCAAGGCCGTCACTCTCTCCTAGACTGCGATCAATAAAGTTCTGACATCATGCCATGTCCCCTGCGGCTCTGACACTGACTTCTGAAATACCTCAGGAAAACCATTGGAAGATTAAATCTAGTTGGTTGTTACAGTTTAGTTACCCTATATAAGTGTTGCGTTGTTTTATTGTGCGGCACCTTGTTAGTGTCCATTTTGAAAGATGAATTGCACAACGAGTAGATCGAAGTGCCTCCAGCTCCGTGCCCACGCTGGGGGCTGAATATGCTTCCTACAGGTCACTGCTTCCTTTGATTTTCACTGCGTTTGATGGCGGGAAATTGCTTTATTCTTGTTTTCATTATAATTACAAATAACAACACTATTATTAGAAAGTAAAGTAATATTTCATCTATATATTTTGTCAAATTTAGCATTTCATTGTTAAATACGTGTAGAGTCGTATATAGTGAAAAATATTTGTTACTAAAGTAGACCCTTTATGTACATATATTATTTACTAAATACGACCTAGTGTTTTATTACGCACTGACTGCACTCAGTTTGATCAAAAGTATCAATTTGCGTCAATTAATTGATTATGCGATAAAGGAAAACGCCACTACATTTGCGTTTATCGTAAAAGACCAGTTAATGAATAATATTATGAAATTCATGCGCGGGCCTTTTGGCTTCTTTTATAGTTTCAATCCAAAAAGTTTAGTACCTGTCGTATGTATTTCACTAACTCATAATGCTAGTAAATTTCAGCATGTAATTTTTATAATTATTATTTTTCGCTATTACATAATTTGTTTGAAATAGTTATTGTTATAATGATGCAATTCCATTCTGCAAAAGCAATTTTAGAAGTGCATTAACAATCATGTTTGTGGCCACCTCCGTTAGGAGCAAGAAATAAAAGTCGTGGATATAATCATAAAAATTTATTATGTACTTAATTATAAATCTTGGAGAACATTAACTCTCGTTATGTACAAGTCTGTAGTCGCTGTGCGAGGTTTCGATGTTTATGTACATAATTATTTACAACTATACTAATAAAGAATTTAGCTATGTATATAATCCTCTAATCAAAAACATGTAAATTATTAGCCAATTTATGTAAGTTTTGAACTCGCATGACATATAATATATTTAATAATACATAGGCACTATCTCTATGCAAGTATCACAATTTCACATAAGAACCTATTATTTAATTTCACTTAGCCTAAAACAGTCTATGGGCTTATAAATAAAAATAAATTACTTAAATACTAAGCGATGGTCGTTTTTTTCGAACACTTTTGCTGTTTTTGCCGAAAATCGTCCCGATTACCTGTAAATAAAATAACAATTAAATACAAATAAATGTAAAAATTAGCAGCCTGAAAATAGAAACAGCTCTGCCCACCGATGTATTTCCAAACCAATTCGACTTAGAATACTTCAAGAAAAGGGCGTATTAATTCTTAAAAGGCCGGCAACGCACTTGCGAGCCCTCTATCAATGTGAGTTTCTATGGGCAGCGGTATCACTTAACATCAGGTGAGCCTCCTGTCCGTTAACCCGTATATATAAAAATAAAAAAAGCCCCCATGACTCAGAAAGCGCTTGGTCCGCTTTTATACAGCAAAGAGTAATATGTCAAAAAAACTAAAATCCATTTCAGCGGTTTAAGCGTACAATTCCGCTTAAATTAGATAGAATTATTGGAAGGTTAAATACAAAGTACTGATGTACGCAACAGCGCGTTATGTAAGATTACAGTTTGCATAATGTATTATGAAAAGTTCTATGGGAAAAGCTATCGCTAGAAATGCTAAAGAAAATCGCTAACATAACTCCGAGCATTATGATGGTGGGAACTGTGAGCATCCGTGTCTGGTTTAAACTGTGGCAAGTGAAAGATCGACGTGTAAGAATGATTAATGTTTTTTTAGTACACGTCCTGGGAATACAGCGTGGAATGTTTTTATTAATTATTACAGAGGATGTTTAAATCGTGTACGTCTAGATATGTAGCTTATCTTAATATATATATTTCTTCTGTGCGTGTGTATGTGACTGAACTCCTCTCAAACGACTGGACCGATTTTGATGAAATTTTTTGTGTGTGTTCAAGGGGATCTGGGAATGGTTAAGATTCACAAATCAGCCCGGCAGATGGCACTGCAGTCGGTACTTTCATACTTTGCTTAATATCCTAATCGCTTTAAATATCATGCAGGACAACGTCTGTGGGGTCCACTAGTGTTTTATAAAGATTTTCTTTATTTATTTATAAAAGTTCACCACATTACATATAATTCTATATCTACAGTATGTTACAAGCTATCTTTTCTAAAATATATGTAAATTATGGAAAACATTAAAAAAATATTACACTTCCAATTTTAGTTCGTACTAGCAATTTTTTGCTTATTGTTTAGCAAAAATTTATTAGCAAAACAGCGGGTATCAGAAAGACTCTTAATAATGTTTTTCTTAAATTGATCTGTCCACAATCGAATATGTCAAGCTCTGGATAAACAGTGTTTATTCAACAGAATAATATTCTGTTAATATAACAATATTCGCGAAGAATTCAAATAAGACGTGCCGTGCCTGAATTGTCTTTTACTACTTTAAAAAAATAGTAGAAGAAATAATTGTTGTTACTTTGGACTATAGTTTAAATATGCAATCATTATTAAAATAAAAGAATCTTGTATGTATGTATGTAGATATGTATGTAGCTATTTGCCAATGCTTTAGAAAGATTTCGTAAAATGTAAGGAGAATTAATTGCTGAAGTTACTTTGGATTATAAAATAAATATGAAATTGTAATCTGAATAAAAGCTGTTTTATATAAATTTTACAAACTTGTTGTTTTACCTTAGAAACAGAATATGCGGCGAGTTTTCGTCTAGGAGCGGGTAATAATAGTGCAAGAGCCCGCGCCTCCCGAAGAAGCGCGTGGAAAGCAAGCGCTGCACCTGCGCACGATTCAGCTGCCGACACCTCGTAGAACTGACACCCGAAACGGAGCGACAGCTCCTGACCCTCTTCCGCGTGGACCTCCCTTATAAGGAAAAATATCCATTACCTCTACTGATCATAATACTCAAAGAATATACATGTAGGAAATATATAGATCCTGTTACTTTCAAACTAGAAAGTCTATCTTTATCTTCTTTAATGTAACTAAATTAATTTTGATCTGATCTACTTTAATTAGGTTTAAGATTGTACGTTGTCAGCTAAAACTTACTAAAGATATGAAAGTCCGCCGAAGTAATTTCTCACGGCGCACCTTTTGAAGTAAATTAATTGAAGTCATTATTACGCTTGAGTACCATTATTCAGAACTAACATAAACTAAGGACAATTATTACGGTTTGATTGTGTAAACAAAGTACATTGAATTAATCATGGTAAGGAGCTTAAGTTATTGCCCAACGCGAAAGGATACATGCAAAGGATTTATCAGTAATAAATGCGAAACGAATCGTGGTATACTGTACAAAGATTTGTGGTCTGACGAAATTTTTGGTTCCAGATGTGTCAAGTACAATTTGGAATTCTTGGAGGATGTAGTCACTCATACGGAGACGTTCTAGTTGTCGAGATATAACTTACTATACAGCGATCAGTATCTAGCTTTAAAATTAGAAATAAAGTCTAAAAAATCAATAACATCATCAAGTAGTATTACTAGTACTATTACTATTAGTATGACTTAGTATGACACTACTTTGTGACTTAAAAATGTACTAGTAGAGCATTCACTAGGTCTTAAAGTCTTAGTTCTCAAAATAAAACGATCCATACGTTTGTTCACAAGTCAAACCTATGTTAAAATGTAAAAAAAGTCTGTAATAAAAGGCTTAAAAACGAGCATTTATATATGATTTAGTGTTTAAAATACGAATTTCATACAAATAATATGACTTTATACAAATGCAGCTTATCTCACCTGGCGTGCTCGAGGTCACGTTTGTTGCCCAAGAGGGTGATAGCGGCACAGCCCGGCAGTCTCGTCCTTTCCAGCAGGGACAGTAGTTCAGCAGCAGCCAGGAATGACCGCCGTTCGCAAACCGAGTAGACTACAGCGAAGGCGTCACCCCAGCGCACGTGGTCTCCAAGGCAACCACGGATCTAAGAATGAAAATTGGGTTATTATACGTATTTGGTTTTTGATTTTAAAAACTATATGTAGAGTGCGGATACAAACCATGAATTATTTTCTTAACTAACTTCACCACATTCATTTAATTGTACTAAGTTCAGAACAATACAAAGAAACATGAATGCTATACGAACTAATTCGAGCTTTTACGAATATATAATTCGCAATCGAGGCCACATAATTTATTCAAATGTTAAGACAAAAACAATAATTTTCAACCTTAAGGTTGTAAATATCTGTCTTACACACCTTACACAAAGTTGCACATCGGAGTACACTCCGCTTGCACAGCGCAAATTCATGCAATAAATAATGTACTAGCTGATGTTCTTAGAAGATAAATAAAAGCCATGTCAACGACAATGGAATAAAATTAACACGCAACAAAACAACTGCACACAAATGAAAACAAAACTTGTTTTTGCCAATCAAAACAATGACTAAGTGTTTCGCTTTCGGGAGATTTTAGATTACATAACTCATTCATTTAGAATCGGCTTTGCGTACGTACTAAAAGACAGCTCGCCGAGCCCTTGTAATTTCCTCGTAATTAAATCGTACGAACTGCAGGCGGTTAATGCAACACCTGTCAGATTAAAATCTCTATTGTCTTAGCTTTAATCGAATCTATCACACGATTACGCTTCCTATAAGATCCAATAATCTTAATGTTATAAGACGTTATACGTAATGGAGATGTCGTACAAAATTAATCTAATCTGGGATTAGATAACGGTTCATTAATAAGCTCTCGATAACATTTAATCATCTGGTCATGAAAGCAAATCAAGCAAAGGCGCTATTGCCAATTACGATTTACTGCTTAACTTGGTACCATATTATTTAATTTGTTTAACCTGCTCAACGGTTCTATTGCAAAAGTGAGAAAAATTGTGTATTTTCCTCTGATTCGTTATATAAAAAGTAAAAGTCCGACTTTCATTATTAACTAATCCTAGTAATTAAGGTATTTTGTGTATGAAAACGCTGCAAAAATCTTTGTTTAAAGATACTGATAGAAAAAGACCTCCATGGAGACCTTTCGCTGAGTCGTTTCATAGATCTGGTTAGCTCTGCGCCTTAAGTTTTCATGTTATTTTCACACATGTATATCTTATCTATAACATATTTCCATAAGTATCTGAATGTCCTCCTTGTAACATGTGTGATGTTTGAGAGCAAACATATAATAAAGGAAAATAAAATTTGCTCACTCACCGCACAATTTGATGTGTCAAGTATTTCAACTTCAGAAACCGCTCCATCGAATGCCACTCGATGTTGATAAAGAAAATCTGAAACAAGACAATTTACATTTATGATTTTGCCCTTTAGCCTTAAATGTTATCAAAGAGATTAAGTTACTTCGATTACAAGATACCAATCGACATTTTATGTTGTGAAAATTAAACATTAACGGTCTTACTCGTACCCAATAGAATGTTTTGTCACGTTAATATAATTCAAATTAACTTAAGAGTAATAAAGAATAAACATACATAACCTTATGTACTTTCAAAATTCATTAACAAGTTAGGAAACAATTTACTAAAGGTCTACGTATTTATTACGCAAGAAATTGTCATTGAAATTCTCTTTCATTGACGAAAATTAACTAAATTTACGTAAATTATAAACGTCATTATGACGTAGTTAAAGCACGGAAGGAATTCGTTTCCTACATATTCGAAGAAAAACGTGCTATAATCTTGTGAATTGACTTTAATTGTGTAAATTAAGCTACTGGATATAAGCGAATGAAACGTTTTGTTCCCGTATCTTAATAGGCAGTATAAATGAAAATTGATCTGCAGAACGGCTTTAATCGGATATATTATATCTCTTAACTAATAATAATTCTAACTAATGTGGGTATTCATGCTTGATTTTCATGATGTACATGACATTGGAAATATTATATATGTAATTGGTTTTAAGGCCAGAGAAGTCCAGTTGTATTATTATACATTATTAGTTATGTATTGTATTCTCGTTTATGGCCTCTCCTATAAAGAAAACAATGCGCTTTGCCTTGAGCTTTTAATCACTTTTCATTTAATATGATTTAATATTTACCAACTAGCGCAATGTAGTTTTGAACGTGTTCGATTTGCAAATAATTTGAACATTAATACATTGAGACAACCACTTTTAGGCAAACACAGCATACACTTCTTTTTTTAAATATTATAAAATGAAGAAAAATCGATGACAAAATGTGAGGAGAGCCTCTATGGTTTATCAAAATACTCAATCTGGATATCGGTGAGTTTTGGCCAAAAGCAGTTTCTGAAAGGGACAAATAGCCTGGAATGCGAGTTATGTTTCGGGTTGGAAGGCACAGAATACGGATCGACTTACCAACTAAGAACTCTCTCTCTCTTATCAATAACTTTATGTAATTAATAAATGTCACTTACCACCGGTAGAACTATATTCACCAATATACCGCTTCGTGAGGTAACGCACAACCACCGCTGCAACAAACAATACTAATTAATATGACTCTAATTAAAACAACTTCCTACTATTGGAAAGTGAGCGTGGCCTATTTGTAATGTAAGGAACAAAGTACACAAAATAGTTCTTCGTCATCAAGCGGTCATTACACTCGACTTTCTATAAGTCCTTTCTCGATGCTCTCCTGGAGTAATAGTTATCAACACCGATGACTCTGCAGGTCTCAAAAGCTACTGGATCCTGGTAGCTATGAGATAATTACTTTCCAACAATGTACTTCATTTTTTGATCGTAAAAACTTTCATTGTTATCGCCTACTCGAAGCCTACGCGTTGTATAATAAAGTTGTATTTTATAAACTTATAAATAAAAATGCTATTAAGTTTTGGAGATACTTTCACGTGGTTAATTTTGAATAACAAGAAAATGTATTCCTTAGTTTTTAGGATTTTAAAAATAGAATGCGGTATTTTATTATCTGTATTTGTTAAATGTGTCTTCTGCATACTAAATTTGTACTATGTTCTGTGTCTTTTTATCTAGGATATACATCGTATTTGTAATAAATAAATGAGAAATCGGTATCCTATATAAATATTCAAGTCGGTTCCCTAGTTATCGTGAAAGCGTAACAATTAATTAGTTTAAAGAGCCTTCATTTCTCGATTCCATCTACAAGATTGGATCGTCCAAGTCACGAGCTGAACCAATTGCGTAATAGATGCGTGCCCGGCGTTTGCGCAATAATGTCGCATGACAATGGACTTGAAATACATTTCCAAGTGCACTAGTTAGAAATCAATATTGAACTTGATGGAGCTTGGGACAGAGTTAATGGAATGTCGATGTCAGATGGTCTATCAGTATAACTTTAAAATCTTTTAATGCTGTCTATTATATATAGGAATATGTTCAAACTTCTGTCTGTATTTTAAGTGACTTCAAAAAAGGCAGTTTCGAATTAGTCGTAGTTTTTATTGCAAACCATTCTGGTAGTCCAATGACCATAAGACTGATAGTGGTATGCTATGGAAATAAAGAAGACTGATGAATTACGTAGATTGTTGATTTTTAGTACATTTTTAATCTGTTAGGGCTTTTTAAAACATCAATAATATTTTTTTACATTTTACGCATTTCTGTTTTTCAGTCCTGGATATGCAGAGACATAAATCAATTAAACTAGTTAAAGTATTATCTGTAATTTGGTATTTCATGAAAATGACGCGTAAAAATTTCACGTCGTGACGGTGAAATGCGGCAGCATGCAAATCCATTATGACTTTTAAAAGCTTAAAATACGAAACTCCTTTAAGCTTAAACGCAATAAATTACACGTAAAGCGATTATCAGAATAATAAAATGTTAAATAACCACTCAATAGCCATTATGTTAAAGCCTAATGGGGGCGAATTACAGCACATTATTTATTAAACACACGAAATTCCACACTCTCATTTTCATTTTATTTCTTTTTCTGTCGTCGATTCGGAGTTATTAAAATACTTTCTCCGCGATCCGATTACGCGAGATAAGGTATGATTGAGCCGAAATGTAAACAGTTAGTAATAAGGTAATTTAAGGTAGTGTTAATGCGCAATGTGTAGGAGTCGTTTAATGCCTTTATACCGACTGAACTTTACATTATGAAAGTTGTGAATTTTTTACAGGAATTTGTATACATACTGTCGCACGGCGTATTCCAATAGCGCTTATATATATTTATAACACAAAGATAAAGGAAAATCGATCAATGAAATAGCCATATAATATTTTACCAATGGGTTACTGACGGGATAACGTACTACTTAATAAATCCTCATTCCCTATTGACAGTAAGTTCGATAAATACCAGCTCGTGTCCCATTATTTGAAAGTATTGAGAGCATTCGCCATATGATTTTTCCATTAAACAGACCACTCGTTCCTATTACTACTCCAGTAATATAGTAGTAAATAGGAACGAGTTTTATTACGCAAATTCAAATTGGATCCTACTATTACTTCTTGAAGGCATAAAATTTTTATGTTTATCGTACTTGAAGATTTTTAAAGGTTTAATTTCGACATTACTATTACATAATGATGCAATATGATTCTCAATAGTAAACAAGAAACCGCTAGATCATTGTACATCGGTTCGAAATATTACGAAGAAAATATTTAAAAAACCGTTTAACCGTATAAGACAAATTACAATAATGAAACAACATGGCACCGTTGGTTTTGATTGATCGTTGCATAGACAATAGGTGTGTAGGAATCTATGGGTAATTAATAGATTAAAGACACAATCCATCACCTATTGCTTGGCGTCGATGTATGGTATCTGTTAACATAGGTCACCAAATCCATTAACGGTTTAACGGTTATACATTTTGTTTTGTATTTAGAATTTATGTTTCAATTTTTAACAAACTTATTTTAAATCCTATAGTAAAATAGGAAGCCCTTTTAATATATCATTTGTTTTTTTATTGTAAAACAAGTTTGTATTTATGTATCCAGCCAGTCCTATTACCGATTTAAGTGTCGAATCTGAATAAGGTATTCAAGAAGACATTAAATTGCCGATTGATAAAAAAAATCAGTAAAACAAATGAAAACTATGTCTGCCTACATGTCTATATCTTCATATTATGGTAAATATATATAATATCATAAACATAATATATCGTTTTAAGTAAATTATACTATATAACAGTATAATCCTCGATCGGTAATCTTAGAGCTCCTTTTACGGGTTTTAGTAATTAGATTATGTTTTTCTCGTCTTAAAAACATACATTCACAATTATTTTTATAAAAATCAGTACCGACATAAAAACATAGTTTTTCACCGTAGGATTGTATTTATCCCATTGAAAGCAGTTACATAAAGAATAAATGAGTTGTTAATAAAGCGAAAACATTGTACAACATAATTTTGCATCGCGTCCGCATGATCAATTGTTTCCGAAGGGGTCAACTTATGAAACACATCTCATTCTCATATTTACGAGTCCAGCGAACTTAATGATCGCAATTATGTCATGTTCTAAAAATAACTCGACGCCATCAGCTTTCGCTTGCATGCGTCTGCACCGTTCCCCTTGCATAAATTGTATTTAAAATTATTATGTAAATTTTATGTGTAAAAAAACTTGTATAAAATGTATTTAACCCAACACTTTGAAAACAATACACGCTCTGAATTCTCGCTCTTAATTTAGTTTCAAGAGCTGTCAAACGATGTTTTTATAATTAAATTTATTTTTTACAATTTTTTATTTTAAGTCCAGTAGATTACTAGATATAAAAAAATCGAATTTGGTAAATAGAGAATAGACCTCTAACGTTGTTACGTGTTATATTTAACACGAATTGCTTGTATTAAAATACTTTTGTTGTAATTAAAATGACAAATCGATGTAACCCGGTCGCATCCGCAGGCGCCAGCCGTCGCGACGTGCGACGTAGGATCCACGCTAAAAATGCATCCTGTCTACGTCTAGTGCATCGCAAGCGTGCTTGTCCGTCAGCGATTAACAATTAGGGCGGCAATTACAAGAGTCGAGGCTAGGTCAAGCGATTTCCCGGCGACGGCGCCAAAGACGTTGTGTAACTTAAACGACCATTCAACCAAGTTTTCGAGGTCGTTGATCCAACTTAAATATTTTACGGATAATTATAATTACGTCACGTCAATTCATCAGGTCTTAAATATTTCCTTTGTAGCGTTTTATCTGTTATCATGTGACAGTGGAGCGCGTCCTCGAAAGGAATGCATTCATATAATACTTGGAATGCTGCGAGTAAATAGTCGTAATGTTATATGGTATTTCTAGGCATTAGATATATTAATCCTTCTGTTATGTTCGTAAACAAGATGTGTAATTTACGTTGTAATTGAATACCAAGTTAATAACCAAACCTTTGTTGCAAATAATATTTTTATAACTCCACCATCTGTTCGAAGCTACAAAAGGCAAAGAGCAACCGTCGTGCGTCGCATGCAACTCAACATTATTTTAAGTGCCATTTTTTAGGTTATCGAGAGCATAAATTCTTGTTAAACAAATATTAAATTTGTTACGAAACTTACGAAATTTTTATATAAACCCAAAAGCAATATAGCATTTATTATTTTTTTCTTTGGTAGAGTTTATTTCTTTTTTGTGTTTGTAATCTAATAATACTAACCCGACTTTCCACTTCGAGGGCTGCCGAGCACCACCACTCTTATTCGATTTACAGTCATCTTCATTTGGGCAGTTTTTTATTAATATCACAGTCTCAAAATAATTAAAATGACATTGTTCTTCACAAAGTTACCCACAATATTCACAATACACAAGTAGCAATCGGAAAATGCAATAATATCGGTTGTTTATCGTAAATAATTTCGAGAAAGCGACACGGCCGGTCGACAGCGGTGGTGCGACCGTGTTGAGTCGACTATCTGCCGCAAGGTTTCTTATGCGACTGCCGGCTTCTCGGATCTGCTTACATCAAAAGCGCAAGCGCAGCCTCCGATAATACAGCCTCCGTTCTAGTTTTACGTATACGCATACTATATGGAATAATGGAATGCAGGCGTCACTATCTCGATACGTATCGGGCAAAAGCATGCTTAAACACATCCTTTTGTCTATAATGATTGATTCAGGAAGTTTAACTTTACGTTATAATGTGCGCAAATCGTTTGTTTACTCCAATATCACTTATTAAAATATTTATATGTATTTTGTCTTCTGTTCATCGGTTTATCTTCCTCATACATGTTTATTTAAAACACATAATAATTTTGTGATAGGAATTCCTTTAAACGAATCATTTAAATGACCGCCTCACGCCCGCTTGTCGTTTTGAATTGCAACTTTATGTCGGTAATTTGATATTTGTAATATTAATAATTAATGCATACTGAAAGCGGCGAAAGTAACGATTTAATCCTTAAGGCTTTACTTTAGGGCTTGCGCAAACCTGTCGTGGGTTTGGACGCCCAGATTGGGTGCGTCCGAGTGTCAAGGTGAGAGTGGCTCAGGCGCCCGCCGCTATAAATTAATTTGCAATGGGACGTAATTGGATCCCTGCCGCCCACGCTACGCGACGTCCTACGGATAGAGCAGGTAGACTTAGACAAATAGCACAACTTTACCCTACTAATTAACACTTCTGAAGAGTTGCGAAATTAAATGGAAATAAACTTGCATAAAATAAATTTATCTACTTGAAAATAAAGAAAAGACCTTAAAATAACTACGGATGTGTTATTCGTTAAATAATATAACTATGAAAGATAAGTTTTGTGATAATTTAATTAAATTTATATCGAGACTTGCTCTTACCCCGTCACATTTAGGCTAAGTTTTTTATTTCCAATTATCAATTATCAATGATATTTCCAATGATCAATCATCAATGTCATCTGTCAGATGATATTGTAGAACTAGCGGGGTAAAACTGGATGAATGTTGCTCAAGACAAAGAGAAATGGGAAATATGGAGGAGGCTTTTACCCTAAAAGGGACCATACAAAAACTAGACCACTAAAAAATTAAAAATTAATCTAACTTAAATTTTGTTTAAAACTCATACTAACTTAACTAATACTAATATTAAGGAATGTAAACAAACCAATTGTTGTATGGATAAAGCTTTAATAATAATAATAATATACGAATGTATAAATTTTACAGCATTAAGATTACGAATCTCAAAGGCATATAAAGTTGTAAATGTTAAATGTCTCCCTCATTAACGCTTAATATATCAAACGTATGAACTTTAGAGCGAAGAAAACACATTTGCATAGGAGTAATTGCTAGTTTCTCTGCTCATTAAGGAAGGTTGTCTAAAAAAGGTTGGCTTCCCGACGAGCATGCCGTTAATACAACTTCCTAGAACGGCGCTGTTTATGCAATCATCTACATATGCGTAGGAAAGCAATTTGTGTAAATAGAAAAAAAATTTACAGAACCAAAAAATTTTATAAATTTAAAAAAAAATAAAAATGTTTTTGACCAAACAAAAAAAATTTTAAAATTTTTAAAAAAAAAAAATAAAAAAAAAAAAAAAAAAAATAAAAAAAAAAATTTTAAAAAAAAAAAAAAAAAAAAAATTTTTTTTAAAAAAAAAAAAAAAAAATAAAAAAAAAAAAAAAAAAAAAAAAAAAAAAAAAGAAAAAAAAAAAAAAAAGGGGGTAAAAAAAAAAAAAAAAAAAGGATAAAAAAAAAATTAAAGAATAAAAAAAAAATTTTTTTTTAATTTAAAAAAAAAAAAAAAAATAAATTTTATTTTTAAATAAAATAAAAAAAAAAAAAAAAAAATTTTATTTTTTTTATATATTTTATTTTAAAAAAAAAAAAATTAAAAAAAAAAAAAAAAAAAAAAAAAAATTTAAAAAAAAAAAAAAAAAAAAAAAAAAAAAAAAAAAAAAAAAAATAATAAAAAAAAAATAATTTTAAATAAATTAAAAAAAAAGAATAAAAAAAAATAAAAAAAAAAAAAAAATATATAATTTTTTAAAAATAAAGAAAAAAAATAAAAAAAAAAAAAAAATTAAAAAAAAAAAAAAAAAAAAAAAAAAAAAAAAAAAAAAAAAAAAGGTGGTTAAAATAGTAAATAAAAATTAAAAAAAAAAAAGAAAAAAAGAAAGGGTTTATTTAAAGTTTTTTTATTTAAAAAAAAAAAAAAAAAGAAAAAAAAAAAAAAAAATAAAAAATATATAAAAAAAAAATACATAATATACAGCACGGATTTTTGTTTATAGGTAATAACTATATTAGTCCATGCTTGTTTTGAGACTGGAAAAGTTTCCAGATTTAAATTAAGATTGAAATTTAAATTGAAATGTGTGATTCTTGCATCAATATTTAATGAAGGGCGACAGATAATATTTAGATTAACATTTCATTTACAATACAAAAGCAGTAAAGCAATTGTTACTTAATATTTTATTTACGTAAATTACGACCACATAAAAGATGAAAATCGCAGACGTATATTTTATTGCAATCCACTCGGCTGGTTATGATCAAATCCTGTTACAAAAATCCGTATATATTTCAATGAAAGATGAAACCATAAAATCGGCTTGTGCAACAATTACATAAAATACAATGTTATTTATTATAAGTACTGAATGTTATGACTGCTAAAATTTAAGTATCGTTTCCATAGATCGATTGGCATATTCAATTATTTCTGTTCTAATTAAATTACTTATCAACAGCTTGGGTAACAATGTCAATAAATAAGAATTTACCTTTGTCGTGAGCAAGTTTCGTAAATATTATAGCGTGTTAAAACTCGTTATTTGACTCGACAATTAAAGCGTTCACACTAGAACATTAAACAATGCATATCTTTATCTGAACGAGTTAGCGTTATTACAAAACAATGATCTTGAACGAGCTAATCTTACATGTTTGGTTTTTGATTGATTTCGTAACCTTAATAGACTTAAAATAAGTTTTAATGTCTATCTATTTTGCAATGGGTATTAAGAGCTTGATCTGTAATTTAAAGAAAAGATTGTTGATTGATTGGAGGTGAGTTAGGTCTGTAGCGACATCTACATTCTAGCTACAAACAGTAGGGTGGCGTCATACCTTGAAACGCGCTAATAAAGTTATTCCAGCTGCTAAGGTTATATACAACTTCACGACCTTAGCTATTGGTGACATCGGGTCGGTCGGACAGTGTTTAGACTGTTCAAGCATCCTCACTTGAGGTTGGAGGAAGAGCAGCACCTTCCTTCCTCCACAAGTGTTACCCCGATATTGTATCTGAGAGATTCCGAAGCCCTCGATTGAATTGAAGATAGAAGCTGTCGTTTTGAGACTCGAGAATGTTAAGCCCCTTTTAGGCTTAATTTAGCAGCGTAGGGACGCACAAAAAATTGAGGTCAGAGGTCCGGTTAGAGGGATGTACGACAATTTAGAATTTTAAGACTCTAATGAAACTGTATTTTTGGGCCGTAACCTTCCATATTTTTATAACACTACGCAACGTGTCTGGTAAACCCCACGAACCACTGGACTACGTAAAGGTTAAATACTTTATTTATGTAAGCGGACTTCTATCAATATCTTCCGAAATTATTTTGTAATTTAAAAATACCAAGTTCAAAGGTTTTGGTGCGAACAAGCACGTCGTTAAAAATTAATGTTCCAAGATCGGGGCTTTTGATAAGAACCAAACATTATTTATTCTGCTCTCTTTTGAAAATGTACGTCCAATAAAACAAGTAAATGTTAATTGAAAACACAGATCAGTCTTTTAGGTATTCGGTCCATACAAAATGAAAGTATCTTGGTACTTGTCTTGAATTTTCAAATATCAAACAGGTCATTCACCCAGGAAAAACTGTACAAAGCATTAAAAGCAGTTTATCTAATTGACCACTTTATTATTGTCATTTTTTAACTGACTTCAGAAAACCCGAAGAAGCACTTTTACAATTCGAGGTGTAACTTTTTTGTGTTACAGTTTCTGGTTTAAGTTAAGACCGACAAGCTTACATATTACTAATCATAATAGCACCTACTAATGAAATAAAATTTGCGGATGTAGGTGCTGCCCTCTCCGAGCTCGATTGAGGATCCCCCTCGACCAGTCTATCCATTGACTCGCTAAGCTCGAGAAGTTCGGAATAACTTTGTTAGCGCGTTTCAGGGTATGACCGCATCGTACTGATTTATATCCGAACATTATAGGCGTCGCTACAAATTTACTCTACATATTGCGCTCATAAAACACACTTACCCCTCAGTCTCTCAAATAAGTTGATAATTTAAAACGTATTGATCTTGAGAATGTACTACTCTATGTTTGCCTTAATATAAGAACCGATTTTTGTATTAAAAATCCCACGCACGTCTTCGTTTTAAATAAATTCACGGATGATTTATGTTCGTTGTTTGAATTACGTTGGTTATTTTTAATCTACCTTGGTAAGACCTTAAACTGATGTGTAGCGAATCATCTTTACATCAACAACAAAAATATTTTGCAAGATAAATCAATTTATAAGAGACAACAAACAATCCCAATCAATGTCGCAATAAAAATCACAAATAGATTTTGTTGATTATTTGTCCACGGTCCCACGTCCACATCTGAAGGATTTTTTTTTCAAGAAGTTGCCGAAATTTGTTCATTTGAAAGTCTAAGGCATGTTTGGAACCAGTCAAGATTTTACTAGTTAGTAAGACTTCTAGTAATGTATAGTAATGGCGAGACGCGCCAACTCTTTGTCTATGGTAAATTCTAATATTTACACTTATATGTCTATGGCAGCGTCAATTGCGCATGCCCGGTCGTGTGCTGGGTTTTGACGCCATTCAAGAGTTTTATATCAAAAATATAGTACCTAACTAGGGATTTTTGAGGTGATATTTATGTACCATAAAACATTTGATTTTATTCGTTTAAGAATATAAAAAATCCGGCTTAAGTTATATTATTATAGACCTTATTATGCTTTAATATATCACACCTTATTATACTTTAATATATCACATAAACCTGATTTCAAGAGAATAATCTTTAATCCTTGGGTTACAAAAAATACCTTTAGTGCACTTTAAATTACGACACATTTCATCTTTCTTGAAATATCATAAAAATACTCAAATTAAATATCGACACAGATACCTAAATCAGCGTAACATAACAACTATATCAGGTATAGTATAGGTTAAAAAAAAACAAAATAACTAAGAACTTTTCGTAGAGTGTGGTTAGTCAACCACAATAATACAGACATAATTTCCGTGAACAATCAAATTGACAATTGGCTAACCTCAGGAAGCTTCATAAATAATCACGGATTAATCTGAGCATTATTTATGCGGGAGCAAAACTGAGCCAAGGATGTATCAGACATTCTCAAGTTTGGTTTATAAATGAACAAACTGCGAGTAACAAAGAAAAATAATGTTGATCGAGTACCTAAATTTTTTTAAATTGTTTTATCTATCTATGTGTAATCTTTTGCAAAAGGTTTATATTCGGTAACTGCACATCTGAGATATCTGTTGCTTACAATCACACATGTTATTGTTTCTGCATAAAATTTATTCTTCTCATCTCATAATACATAAATTATTGTAAAATAAAAGTCATCTTTATTTATAACAATTACCAGCTCATAAAGGCGAGAACTTACGATTTTTATTTAGTAGCTAATAAATCCCTTTGCCCTTTCAACGTGAGTAGGTTCTTAAACAATTACCGTATAATATTACGAAAGGGGACACCGCATCCTTATTCGACCTGCTTTTAAAATAAATACATTTGACCTAAATCCGTCAAGCACAGCACGAAACAGCTATAGAACTGATGCGTCTAGATTCAACTCATCCATATTGGCCAATTTATCTACAAAATGAAACGCTTGATGGAAAATAGACCACACAGCAATCTAACTGTACAGCTCTGTACATGGAATTGAAACGAGTGATTCCTGTCTAGTTTTATCGCAAACTCTACTACTTTTTACATATATTCTGACGTCAGTCGTGTATGGGCATGCTTCAAGGAAAACTATTTGTTGATTCATCAACAGTTACCGCCAAAAATTCGCTTTACGAATTCTTACAACTTTTATGACGCTCAATTGCGTATTGAATTCGTTATATAAAAACAACAAATTGTGCTAAGGAAGTTGAATGAAAATTAATTAATCATTTAACGTTATAATTTGCTGATATGCAAAAAGTCAACAATGAATAATGGCGCATTTTAAATGTCAGATATGATTTATTGTGGCAATGGTAGGTGGTGTCAGCTTTCTTTAGGATTTGAGCGTAGCAATTTGTCGTGGATAAACATTGAGTCGTGATCAGGCACACCCCTCGGTGCTCGATAGCTTAAACCACGAAGAACATCCAATTTATGACCGAACCGTTATATTTGCTATTCATAAATTACAAAATTACAACAAATCCGTTGGATACTTAGGGTTTTATTATTTAATATGAGATACTTAACGGTTATACACGGTTAAGCATAACTGGATGTCCCTTGCCCTCTTGGACTATTAATTTAGAATCTTAGTGTACACCTGCTATGTTTATGATCTACTTACTTGATTGGGCATTGTTCTGTCGTGGCTTGAAGGCGGACCTAATAGGAATCTTAAGGTTACACCATCCCTTCTCGACACGAGTTTTGAAAATTATACTTTTGTATCCAAATTATTTAAAAATTAAATCGAATCATAATTATAGAATTAACAATATATTTTATATAAAAACAAATTGTGTTATAAGTTCATAATAATCGTTACGTACCGATATCGAAATTTTAAAATAGAGTTTTAAAAGATCTTGTTTTAAAACCGATAGCAACATTTAGGTGTATATCTATACACGAGGAGAAATGCAAATTATTTTTAATTGCCTTCCGGTAGAAAGTGGGTGAACTTGAACACAGTTTGGGCCGGACGAATCAGTTTGATACCCGTCGAAATTGCAAGTCCACGTGTTAAAGTCATCCTGAAAGTTGTCTTGTAACTATTCCAATAACGGCGTGCCTAGACATCACGATCAGCAATTTTTTACTAGCATATGCACCATCTTAGTGCTTTTAATCTACTAATTAAATCAGTAGTATAGATTGCAGCACTTGTAAAAACACGACAGTATAAATGGAGCTAAATAAAATTTATACTAAGTACGACTCCAGCGACTTCTGTTCGGCACGTAAGACATAGTATTTTAAAGAGTCCAAAATTTAGATAGATTTTGAATCCTAGCTTCTAAATTTTTTTTCCAAAGAGGTTGGCTACCTGCCCGTTTGCCCCATTCTCTAAAGAAAATTGGACCTCACTTTAAGTTCACACTATTTGCTTTGCTAAACGTGATTGCTTTTATATAGATAGGAATAATTATCGAGTGCTGCTTAACTGGACAAGATCTAGATATTTCTATCGATCAACTTTCTAGGTTTCATTTATTATCATTATATTTGGCGCCTTACTGAAAAGTTCGAATGGACCCAAAGAAAGTGTATCATATCAGCAAGCTTAGTCAAATGTTTAAACGATTATAAGCATACGTCCCTTATTACTCGTAGTTTAAACAACTTCCAAGTTTATCCTATGCTATGAAAAAAATTGTACAACATTACATAATAAACACAATGGAATTAACACATTATCTACAAGATACGTAAGTACAATAGCGTATGTAAAAGCATTATAATAAAAGAAATATCAATATTAGGATAATAAACCTAGTGTAGGCGGGGTACACGGGACGCACGGTGTTTCGTCTACGCGGCAATTTGTTTTAATAAAACCTTAATACCTACCTACACAAACCTTTTATAAAGGAGCTATTGTTCGCTGGTGGCCTCTTTCCAGGATTTTCGATGACTTATGACTGCTTTGAACTTATTTAATATTAATATGATAAGTTCTTTTGTTTTCCTATGCAGAGAAACTTAGATAACTTTTGTTGACTGTAGTGTATTAACATGTGATATGCTTATAAATCAATCAATCTAATGGATATTTAAAATATAAACGTAAGTAGGGATTGCATGCATTGAATCTACAAGTTTGTGAACAAACTTTAACTTACTTTTTTAAAATTGTAGGAAATATACAATCAAGAGATACCTAAATTTCTTAAAGAAAATACAATTAATACTATAATTTATTTTATTTTAAAATTAAAAATGTCTGGTTTTGTAGTCCATCTTTTAAAAAAACTTTGCTTAATTTCTAACCATTTAGTAATATATTTTGTTGACCTTCTCTTCATATCATTATAAGCTATGTTTTTGATATCCTCATTTTCACATATTTTATACAACTTATTATTGTTATCCAATATTTCTATGAATGCTTTATATAGATTATATTTCGATATACATAAATAGTTATTTGGACAATTCTCCTTCTTTCTTGTAACACCTAGCTTTTTTCCTTGAACAACAACCTCGGATAATCTGAAATAAAGGATTTCTTTTAGTTACCTTGATAAAATTTTAAATTCGAGGTAGGTCAAAAGAATGTTTAAAAACCTAAATCATTCTTAAGCTATAGATGTGGTCTTATATGACAAAATAAGAGATTTCTTATCGATCTCAAACTCACCCATTATTTATATTCACCCAAATAATACTACTAGGTGCTGGTTTAATTTTTTTATCAGTTTTGATGCAAGGTAAAGTAATTGTACTTTGATAAATATGATGACTTAAACCTAATTTTTCTTCTGAATATGTATCTCTAGTAAACAGGGCTCTCTTTAAACTGTCTTCTGAATATGGAGTACCACCACCAAATATTAAATGTTTTATATAAATTGGTTCAGCTATCAGCAATGATATCAGGCTTCCTTGAATACCTAAGTGTATCCATCGGGCTATTTTATCACTACATGATAAGGACAGAGTCCTATCTCCCCGGCCTGGTTTAGTCCTTACTTGTCCCAATAAATGATACTCTATGCCAGGTAATTTAGGATCTTGTTTTGAATTCTCCAAACACTTTGCCCCTGTTCTAAAGACATCACTTTTTGGTTTCTTAACTTGAATTTTGCTTACATCATCTTGAGCATACCTCTTTGAGCATACTACTATATCTCCAATGTTTTCAATATCATCCTTACGAATAATGGAGGCATCTCCACATGGCAACTGAGATGAATAGAACAAAAATTCAACATTTTCTTTTAATTTACACTGGGTTTCAACTTTTTCAAATATAGAATCTTTGCTTTCCAAACACAACTGAATATTTTTATATAAATACAAAAGAAACCCACGACGAGCTATTACTTCAGCATGACTATCATTTAGTATGTTGCCTAAATGAGACATTTTTGAGGCTCCAATACATTTGGATCCTGTGCCTAAAGCCACTACTTTATGTATTGAGCTCACAGCATCATATTGGATTATACAACTCAGAACTGTCCATTCGTTTTCAAGTGGTTTACCCGTTTTTGATATACTCGTAAATAATTGTATGCAATCTTCAACGATTTTATCAATAATACATTGTTTATATCGATTCATTTTTGAATAGTATAAATATTTATTGAATATTTCAAATTCTCAAAAGTTAAGTGTTCGACATTTTGTATTGAAATTGTTGTATAGTATTATTCAACAATGGACATAATTCAGTCATATTTTTAAGTACTTAAAAACTAGATAATGTAAAATATTATTACAAAAAGTAACTTGTGAACAATAAATAACATAGAAATTGTATTTTATAAATTATAATTTATAAGTCATATTGAACATATTCACAGAGTAAATTGAGTATTATACTGTTGATTTCAACTGTCAACTATAATAACCACAGATAATATCAATCCCTCGACAGGTATGAGTTAATAGGACTTCTAATACGAAATCGCTTTTTACTAATTTTGTCGTTTTTAAATGTGAGTAAGAATAATATTTTATAATGAATAGACTTGAATTATATATATATATATATATTACTTACTAGGTAAAAGGTGCACCTCGCTGCTTCGCAGCTCGCATGACAGCACCGCAAGCCAATACTCAGCCATGTTGAAATTGTGTCTAATATATACCCTATGAATATTAAAAATCTCAACACTGGAGCAACCTTAAACGCCCGAATATACCGATTAAAGGCTCCATAAAATAGTATATGAAAAAGTGATTCCGACAAGTTCTGATCTTTGTCATTATTTCGTACTAATTCACTCATAGCATACATTGATGACTTGTTACAAAACTTCCCCATACCCAAGTATTTTTTTTTTTTTAAATCAGGAAAAACACACAGTGTTCCAGATTTTCAAATTTATCGACTTTTGACGACTCATTGGTCTAGTGGTTAGTACCCCTGACTGCGAATCCATGGGTCCCGGGTTCGATCCCCGGCTGAGACGAACATCGATGTGATGAGCATTTGGTGTAGTGCTTAGGTCTTGGGTGTTCAAATATGTATTTATATGTCTATCTATCTATAATATGTATGTATATCCGTTGCCTAGTACCCATAACACAAGCTTCACCAGCTTAGCATGGGACTAGGTCAATTGGTGTGAATTGTCTTAAAAAAAAAAAAAAAAAAAAAAAAAAAAAAAAAAAATCCTATTACCTTCACCTAATGGAAGTTTAAAAGCATTACTCCGTTTACTTCAAACAATTCAGTTAATGTTTTGGCCAAAAATCTAAAACTGCCGCTCCAAATCACCCCCCGCACATATTAACATTTTTTTCGATTTGAACGTTTAAATTTTGGCGGTAAGGCAGTGAAGGAAGTTCGCATATTATATTATAGTTCATTAACACTGTAAACTAACAATATCACCTTTTAGAGTCACAAATCACAGTCAACTAAGTATTTTATTTTTATTTATTAGCGACTACACTATAGATAGTTATTTCACATAATACTATATATATTTTCTCAGTCGTATTCTTCATTGCTGAAGGTCGCGTCACTGTAAGGTGCCTGCTGCCCTGCTAGTAATATCTCTCCACTTTGTTCGGTCTATAGCTTCCCTTAGCGCAGCTGTTATGAGGAGACGCGTGAGAATCGTGAGTTGGCGATCAGCCCCGCGGCCTTTTGCCTTTCACCTTGGCGGCGAACTAGCTCGTCCAGGGTATCTGGTTCTCGACGTAAGACCAAAGTAAAAGTTTTTTTAGAGAGATATATATATTTATTTTGACTATAAATGTATAGTTAGTCACAATAATTACAAACCTAGTAATTAATAAACTTTATGATTTATATATAATATATACATTTACGAGATTTTTAGTTTAGTTTTAGTTCATAGGCTCACAGGCTCATACGTACACACGTATGGTACACAAATAACATACTTTATCTATCAAGTGGCCCCTGGAATTTTTCTTCAATAATTATTATCACAACACAATACATCTCACTAACAACGCTCAACTTCAACGGCAATCATAGTAGGTAGTACAAACTAATATTATAATAAAAAAAGTTAACGTCGTCAGTATTCAAAAAAGATGTTAAATTGCTATCTTATATTTATAATGCATGGTCTATTCTCTAATAAAAAAAGGGGGGGGGGGGGGGGGGGGGGGAACTTCTTTGTAAATTAATTATTGGTAATAAGCTATCCATTCCCATAATTTAATTTTTTCAGTGTTTTTTTATTAATGAAGGGGGCTAAGGGGAAATGGAAAACAAGAAAAAAAAAGGGGGTTTTTATGTATATAGAATGCCAAAATATGGTAACAATTACCAAATAATATAACAAATTCATTATTATCATAATTGCTAACTTATGTCCACATTTTCTAAAATATCCAACTGGGTCTTAGCAAAAAAGGTCTTGGCAAAATACAAAACCAACAAAAATAATAATAAAAAAACTAATATTATAATAAAAAAAAGTTAACGTCGTCAGTATTCAAAAAAGATGTTAAATTGCTATCTTATATTTATAATGCATGGTCTATTCTCTAATAAAAAAAGCGCGTGACACAAAGACGCATGTCAGAAGTGAAACTTCTTTGTAAATTAATTATTGAGTAATTAAGCTATCCATTCCCATAATTTAATTTTGTCAGTGTTTTTATATTAATGAAGGGTACTAAGGCTAATTGAAAACCAGAACTAAAATTAGTTGTTGCTATGTATATAGAAATACCGCCATAAATATGGTAACAATTACCAAATAATATAACAAATTCATTATTATCATAATTGCTAACTTATGTCCACATTTTCTAAAATATCCAACTGGGTCTTAGCAAAAAAGGTCTTGGCAAAATACAAAACCAACAAATAATAATAATAAAATAATAATAAAAACGTTATTTATGACAAAAGCGTTTGAGACAGAATTCATATATCGCTAGTCCCCACACTAGGGAGGCCCAGTGTTGTGAGTAACTAGAAAACAATTATTACGTGGTACATGTAAAAAAATAAAAATAAAAAAAAGATGATAATAAAAAAATATAAAAAAATAGTAATAAATTTAGTGTTACAAATGAAGTAAGTGTGTGAATGTGTGAATAGGTGTGTATTCGCATGTATTTGAGAGTGTAGCTGAAAGTTGTTATGATCATGCACTGTCTGTGTTAGTTTATGAAACCTCAAAGTCATACCAAGATATGTAGTAATGCCTCTGTAGATTCGAAATCCAATTTGGCTAGTGTTGTTTCTATGTGACTTGCTAGTTTATATCTGGATAGTTTTACGATCTCAGAATCCATAGATTTGGAAATTTTGTTATAAAGGTAGGGGCCCCTAAATGCAAAGGAGCGTTGACCAAACACTGTCCTTCGTTTTGGCGTTGGGAATACAAAACGTCTGTTCTTAGATGTGTCCTGATTTGTGAGCCCATGGAATCTATGATATCTTGAACAGGTCGCCAATGGTATTTTAGTTACTTAATAAAATGATATTGATATGTATTAAAAACACCATCGGTGTTCAAGTCTCAATCGCTCTCTCCCTTTTCTTCGACAAAAACGCTGCACATCTTTGTGAAGTTCCGTAAATTTTTTAACCTCATACTCCTAATGAAGTTTCATTTCAAAAAAGTCTAGGCGATATAAAATTGTTTTATTAAACTTCAGAGTTTTATAAAGCAATATTACACTAGTACCTTAATAACGCGCATTTACAATACTTTCTCAAACGTAATTTAAATCATTGATGTCGGAATATGTATAATATGATTCCCACACTCAGTTACAATCAAGTGGGCGTTGATGAAAGAGGGGTAGTTTGTCACTCCATGGCTCATTATAAACCGAGATGACGATTTCGATCCCGCGCCTTAATTTGAATATCAAAAGCCTGGCCCATGGTACCATTGATCAAAAAGCTATTAAATAATATTGATAGGTTATAGAGACCATCATTTCAATATTATCGATCGAACGATCATTGTTATATAATATCTAAAATTCAACAACTCATGTTTTGTGTAATGAGAAGAAAGAATACGTCGATCGTGACATGAAAATATTTTCAATCTGATGACGCGATGAATTGTTTTAAAACATCAGTGTCAATGACCGATAAGTGCAATGGGTGGATAAGGGTGCGATTACCAACACGGAGGTCGTGCCTTCAAACCCCGATTGAGCACGACTAGCTTTTTCTTTGCGCCCAAATAACACTTGCTTGTATGGTGAATAAAAACATCGTCAGCAAACAGGCAAAAATATTGTCTAATAAACACAATATCAACGTCGTGTCGTAGCTACAGAAGGCTCACCTACTTGTCTACTAACAAAATAATATTTTCTATGAAGTAGATGTAAATTTGTATGGAAATGACAGTTCGTGTCGAAAAGTTTTCATACAAATTAAGTTTTTGTCTTTCTACATACACTACTGTTAAGGCATCTTGACTAAGGCCCCTGATCCCAATTCCCAATGCCCATAAGAGTTGTAGTACTCTATTAATAAATATCAATCATATGCATGTTATTTTATAATTACATATCATCATATCTTTAAGGTTGAATTGTGTCATTATTTCAATTGTAATTAGTGTCATTCTATGTGTCCTCAGGAAACTCGTTGTTAGAAATGATTTAACTGTTAATATTAAACCTTCAGAATTAAATTAAAACTTTGCGCTGACGTAGCTGACGGAGAACTTCGTCTATTTAATTTTAATGTGAAAAGCATAAAAGCCCTTACGGGTTTCAATGGCATTGATAACAAATCGGAATCGTGCCGGTCTTACATTAGCACTCGGCACGTTCCGCCTGCACGGCATCTGATAGGTAATGCACTCCTTATTTCATGTTATTACAGACTCAATTCTATGCAGGGCAGACAGGTACCTAATATCGTTCGCAATGATCACAGGCTTGCTCCTACCGAAGCTGGAATTCAATTCTTGTGACGATCAAAATGCCTAAGCACCTATTTTGCACGTTATTAAATTTTTGTACATTACAATTTGTCTAAACAAAATTACTATTTTGATAATAGATTCTTCTTTTGATATGGTGACAAATATTAAAATTATGTTTTGCTTTTAATAAAATTAAAAAAGTTAAGTAAACGATATTCATAGTAGTATACTGCCATGATAGTAAACGAAGTAGTTTTTTATAGAACAGTATTTTATTCAATTAAAATTAAGAATAAAACAGATGAACCTATTAAAGGCTATTAGGCAGTATGAAAAATAAAATTTTATTGAGAGTTTTAAAAATGACTTTAAAACGCGTTATGGAGTAAAATAACTTATAAATAATTAAAAAATGAATTTAACTATACGTGACACAATTACCCGAAGCGACGATGACATAGCACGCTTGTAAATAGTATATTTTCGCCTGTCTTATCCTAAAACTGTCTTGTAGTTTAACTTCGTCGAAGACTGTGTGACTGAATCTAAAAATATTATGTGCATGTATTTATGTAATTAAACGATGACAACGGGTGTTCCAATCATGCCTAGAGAAGCGTTTTGGGTGGCAAATGTTTAATTTTAAGTTTTAAAGCCAACACTGAATTCCTACCTATTCCCACGGTTGCTCTATATGGGGGAACATCCGTTTATATTTTATCAAAACTTGATCGCAAAAATAATTGAGAATACCAATTACACATAGGTCTATACCTATCAAATTTAAAAGTTTATTAAGAATTTTACAGTTTTTATTAAAATAATATCTATTATCTAAATATAGTTTTTTTACTGAGAAGGCGTTTAAATCGGATGTGGTATTATTAGTTTAATTTATTAATTTCACCGACTAAAAGTTGGGTCTTCAAGGTATGTACCTTCTTCGTCATATGATAAATTAGTAAAGTTATTAATTTAATTTTAAGTATTATTGCGTATTAAACCAATAAGTACAATTTAAATTATTCGGCATTCTGTGCAAAATTAAACTTGCAGCATATCGCTAACGTCAAGATCAGCTGTCAAAATATTTTAATTGTTAAGAGACTGTCAGAAAAAGCGCGGGAAACGTTGGTCGTGGCGGGAGTGTTTTTTCTTGTGAAATTTTTAAATTTAATTTAACTTGTATAAAAGATCAGTTTGTATATATTGGTATGTAGTAATTTAATTAAATAGTTTAGTTTATTCATTTGTGTATATATTCTACAGTATCTGGTAAGTTTGTATACTTTTTCCTCAAGGCCTGGAGTCAGGCGAAAAAATGGACGAGCCCCCGGATATCGGGGGCTCGCCCCCCGAGGTAGCTTGTAATATTATAATAGAAAATAGTTTTTTTAAACTGGACGAGTCCAGTGTAGATACAGATGTGGATCAACGGAATGACCGAAAAAGAATGCGACTAGGTAAAATTTGCAAACACTGCAACAAAAGGAAAAAAAGATTCGATCCGACGCGTCGGAACAAACAAAAGGACACTGATTGCTCGTGCCAAATACCGGAAATTGAAATTCCCTCAATATGTACTGGGCTTAAGAACGCTAATGCTCTAGATAGTTTTCAGAACAAAGTAGACCGTGTAGATACTGCAACTGTTAATACCCAACAGCACCCATCACCTCCATCAGACGTTTCTCAGTCCATAAAAAATCCTACAGGCCGAACGTTTTATGAGGCCTATGACATAGGGCCATTCGTAGTTCATGCGCAAAAAGTTTCTTCAGATACGGACATCCCCTCCCTACACCCCGTCCAATTTGGGTATTTCCTCAAGAAAAAATCTTTTAAAAACATTATTAATGGTAGCATCAAAAGGATAGGCAGAAACAGAATTTCCCTATCATTCTCTGACCACAAATGTGCAAACGAATTTATTAATATCCCTTGCCTGGCAAGAAATAATTACAAAGCTTTTATTCCCTCATTTAATGTGACCCGAATGGGCCTGGTGCGAGGCGTTCCCGCGGAATAGTCTCCCGAAGAGATATTAGACAACATCTCTCTGCCTGTAGGCAGCGGAGGAATTATAAAAATAAGACGACTAAATTATAAAGTACGTAACAGCAACCCTCCTGAGTGGAAGCCATCACAGACTATTGTAATAACTTTCGATGGTCAAACCCTTCCTAAACATGTATTTGTCTGCTACAATGCTCTGCCCGTAGAACTTTACGCATACCCCACTATTCAGTGCTATTCTTGTTGCCGATTTGGTCATACTAAGTCTAATTGTAACTCTCGGCCCCGCTGTTACAAGTGTGGCCAAGGCCATACTGGGGACACATGCAACATACAAGATGATGCCGCGTCTTGCTGTCTATGTTCTGGTCTACACTTTGCTACAAACAGAAAGTGTCCAGAATATGAACGGCAGACTAAAATTAAATTGTATATGGCTCAGAAATGTGTATCTTACGCAGAAGCAAATAAAGTGTATGATCCAGTTTCAAAATCTTTTGCTGATATAGTTAAGTTTTCAAACATCCAGAATACTCCTAATTCTCCTATCCCACATGTATCGCCTTCCTCTCCCTCGATTCCATCGGATAGTAGAATTTATAAGAAAACAATATTTGCTAAACCAACATCCCCAAACCAAAACGACTGGGGTATAACAAAACAGAACACTTCAATTTGATAAAGGACTACGACGCTCCAGCTCCTTCTAACGGTGTCGCTTTAATAAACAGTAACGTTAACAATAAGGACATAATCTCTGATTTAATCCAATTTTTTACTGAAATTAAATCCAATTCTAACTCTGACAACATCGTAACTGAACAACGTCGCCAAATGATTGCTTCCTTAACTAAATTAAAATCCGCTTATGAGTCACGAACGCGAACAAATAATCCAGTGGAATTGCAGAAGCGCTTTCTGCAATAAAAATGATTGAATCCATTTGCATAATAAATTTGAACCATTTGTCTCAACTCTGTCGGAAACATGGCTTTGCCCGGAATTGACTTTTCGAATTCCAGGTTAGGTATTATATTGTATGTTATTCTCCGACAGCACAGACCTGACAGCTATGGTGGTGTTGCCATAGTCATTAAAAATTATCTCCCCTATTTCTTATTTCCACTTCCCTCATTCGGAGATGACTTATCAGTCATTGCTGCTATTGTAAATAAAATTTGTATAGTGTCTATTTATTTTTCTCGTCCTAATGTTAATATTTTTACGTCAAAATTTAATGCGGATATGATGTAGGTGATTTAAATCACATAATGTTTGTTTGTCCTCGGTGCGACCGGTCGGCTCTTCTCGAAGGTCTCTTTTCCCTTCAAATTCCATTCCCTTCATTCATATCAAGTTTACTTTCAACTTTACAACCCATATGTATATAAACTTTTCGCAGCTTTTCTCTTAAGTAATAATATTAAAAATTTAGACAATATGAACGTAAATATATGTAAATATGTTTTCTTATACTCCTTTTGTATGTAGATGTATAAGAATCGATCTTTATTTTATAGTTTAATTATTTTCTATTCCTAAATTCCTTTCCAGTCGATAATTTTATGTTTTTACCCGTTTCCCTGTTTTTGACCCTGGGCCACAATGCACAAACCGTGCGGGCCATTAAAAAAAAAAAAAAAAAAGAGACTGTCATAAGACCGTTCGATTCGCTAGAAGTAATAGTGTTCTGTGGTTCCTACTGTTCATAGTTCATACTTCATAGATACTGTGATTGTCAGAACTCGGTACAACTGAGAAACTGATTAATGAATAATAAATTAATAGAAAAATAAAAACAATTAACCAACGTGCGACTTTCACTAGTACTACAGACTTGGTAAATTTTTAATCAATACACAATGGGTAATTGGAAACTGGAAGTAGCTAGGATGGCTATGTATACTTCTTTCCCGGTGGCATTGTTTTTCTATTTTAATCAGCCAACATATTTCGAAGAGTGGGTTACAAACACTAAACGGCAAATACTTCCACCAGAAAATGTTAAGGACAAAGAAGCTTTCCACCAACTTGTAAGAGACATGCGGAAAAAGCAAATGCAATCCCTGGATGACTAAATAGTATGCATTAAACACAAAATTATTTTAGGTAATTATTGTACATAAAGAATAGTTATAAAGTTATATATATATTTAAAAATGGGTTTTATTATAAAAACATGCCATTATCAACATAAAAAATTTATTCCATTTATTTCTTAGTCCACTTTAACGTGTCTAGTTTTGTATCTATAGCTTAATATCAGGGCAATAACATTTGAGCATAATGATGCATAAATAACAAATTTAACACCTAAATACTGACCTATAAGTCCTGCAGCCATAGGTGACAAAACACCAGATAAAGAAGCTACACTATTAGAAGCACCAATCAATGTACCTTTATGCTCTTTATCACTTTTCCTCAAGATCATTTCTAGAGTTACTAATCTACCAACAGCATTCCCTATGGCCATAGGAATTAGCCATACTGTATAAAACATTATATTTGAAGACATACAAAGTCCAAAGATAGAAATAGATAATAGTAAAAATACATGATAATTTCTATGGCTAAAATCCTTATCATTAGGGTAATAACTATTAATGTAGCCCATTAAGAAGCTAGAAACAGCACCTATTATACCTTGGAATGATATTACATAACCAATATGCTTAGGTGACAATTCATATTGAGTTTTTAAATATAAAGCATAATTTGAATAGTATACACCCATAGCGAAACCTAATAAAGCCTTAAACACAAACACCTCCCAGTATTGTGACCAGTCCACTTTAGATAATTCTAGAGCAGACTCCTTACTGTTATTATATATTAATTGAAATATATTTTGATTGGAATGTATTTTTTCTGATGTCTTTTTCATCTTGATATTTGTTTGTGGCAGCATATACACACTAACTGAAAATTCATAAATAATTTATTTATTTACAGCATACATATAAAACCAAATAACCAAATTAAGCTTTAATAATAAAGTAATGAGCCTTATGAATACACTAATTATAAAATGTTAACTAATAACACATCTCTAAATATTCATAAGGGAACATTTAAGATAGTAAATTTTTGTCACTTGTTATAACCTAACCTAAAAAATATACTGGCATTGTAATTTAAATATAAATTAATCATATTATATATTATCATAACAATGATAGTTTTTTGTCATTTCTCACCTGCATTAAGAATAAAGCACAAAGCAACCACTCCAGCAATATAATAAAATCCATTTTCGGGGTAGTCTTCAGCAATATGGCCTCCAATTATTGGACCCAGTGTCATACCCATTCCAGATATAGCAGCCATTTTCCCAAAAATAGCTGATTGTTTTTTCTCATTCTTTTCATATTCAGGAACTAAAGCTTTTGTCAACAACTGTGTTTGTTTAAATAGCCCTGTTAAAATTCAAACCATTACACCATATTTCGAAATGGTCATTACTTCCATGTAAAATAGAGTAACGCATAAATCTGTTCAAGTAATTAATTTATACAATTTTATCAACAAGTATGCTAATTGCATTGTCTGACCTTGAAGTTGCCAACTTGACTTACAATCTAGTTACACATTTTAGCTCAACATAAAAACTTTATAAATATTTTATAAAGCATCATACCTAAAACAGCTCGCAAAAGAATAATGATTGCTATTGAGGTTGTGAATGCCATACATAAGTATGCACCCGAACATACTATTAAAGTATAAATAAGTATACTTCTACAGCCTTTTAAGTCACTTAAACTGCCCTGTAAAGTAAATAAATTTCAAATATAAACGCTTAAATTATTTAGAAATGTGGTAACATGTTCATTACTTTTACAGCTTTACACTCATTTCATCAAAACTATATTTTATGAATTATTTTATATGGTCAATAATATTTACAAAAAGTACTTACAATTAATGGACCAGACCCTAACTGGAATCCAGAATAAACTGAACCCAAAATGCCTACATAAATGTGACTTGCACCCAGTTGTCGCACATGACTGGGAATTAAAGGCACAATTAGTCCAACTGCAAGCAAATCCTGAAAGTAACAAATAGAACCTAATTACAATAATACTATATTATTATAGGGAAAATGAAAATACTTACCAAAAATGCGACAAATTTTATAAGTGGAACGGTGTAAGTCATATTGAAATTAAGAATACTAGTTTTTTGTAACTTATTTTAAGAAGTAGAACTAAGTTTGCTGTTTAAATTTCAGTATGATAGAATAGATAAAAACCACTAAGTGGAATTAAAAATTAACAATATAAACAAAAAAGATTAAATAAAAAAAATAGTCATTTTTAAATAATAAATTTATGTGCAGTCTACAGATGAACTGCAGTCTAATAATAACTAATAAGTATTCACTATTCTGTGAAGTGTGAATGCAGTGGTTCTTTCGTGCGATGTTATTGACAGACATCACAGATCAAGTAGAGGTAAAGTCGTAGATAGAGTATAGAACTACATGAGCTTCTAAAATAACAATAATAACTAAAGAGAGAAGGCATTAACGTGAAATACTTAAGTGCGAGCGAAACAGAGTATCAGTTTTTCTGTCTCTATTTGCGTATCGGGTTTTATTTGTTTACCACCGAGCCCTTGGTGGTAAACAAGTTTTCACCGCTTTCTGATAAATCTATGAAACCCAATTCAAACCCATATTTTAAGACTTTATCCTTATAAGAGATGTATTTAAAGTGTCAGTCATTATGAATTGATGCATAATTGCCTGTAAAAGCTATAGTGAACGTAAAGAACCAAACATAACCTTTCATCGGTAAGTAGCTTATTTTGTCACGACTCAGTAGCTTTGTTTAAGAATTATTCATTCGAATGAGTATTTTGGTAAATAATAAGCAATCTTCAATGAATTAAAACTGTAAATACGACATATGTCGATCATTCGCTATCTCACACGCTGTACGCTGATGCCTGGTCTATACCATAGTCCGTCTACGGTTAAAGTAAAGTATATATAGGTCTACCAGAATCTGATGGCAAAAAAATGTTTAAAAATTAGCGATTTTCATATGGCAATAAAAGAAAAATTTCATCTGTCAACTAAAATTTCGAGGAATTGTTTTTGGTTTGACTTCAAATTTCCTTTTAAAAGTAATGAAAATGTCGAAGAAACCTCTCCGATCGCAAGCAAGACATATTGTTTTCAATGTTTATCAAAGAATACTTGATCAACAAGATGCATAACATACACAATCATCGATATTGAGCCATGTGCAAGCGTTGACTGGTTAGTAGAAATGGCACGTCTTGATATTTTGGTTTATGAGATTTTTCGTGTGTTATTATGTACTTATACTAAACTTTGGTTTATTTCAGGGGTTTCTTATACTACAAAAAAACTTGGATAGTTTTTATCTAGAATTGATCAGAAACAAGATAAATGAGTTTTACACTGTTTCATTCTTTCAAATAGGGATCGATGAATGGCGAAAATCTTGTGAACATGTAATAAAAATTGAAAATCAGTACATAGAACAAGATCGGTTAATTGAGATGCAAGAGGAAAGGTTTATCATAAATACTGCGTTGAAAATTTTTTTTATGGATGTGCAGTATTTGGAACAATTTTCAAGTTCTTAATTAATAAATAAACTCATGATCAAAGTAATTGGAGTTTTCATCTAAATTTCAAACCCCACATTCGCCACATTTTCAAAAATTATCTTTGATCATTGGATAAATTTTTATATTTGCATGTATCACACACAATCAGCCGCTATAAGGAAAAAAAAGTATCAAAACGTTTTACGCCAATTTCCCCAGTATTGCTAGCATCAATTTCTTTTTTCCCTTTTTGCCATCAGACCCTGGTATACCTATAATTACTCAACTTCTTGAATTTGAATTGTGGTCCCCATGCTCTCTTAAGTTGGCGGGGGGAAATTAATTTTTTGCACTTTTTTTGGCTCTATCAACTGTTCGTTAACTGTTCTTCATTGTTCTATAAAAAAAAAATTTTGTTCGTTTTTGTTTTTTGTTTTTTTTTAATTATAAAAAAATTTACCCTCAATTTGGCACGAACTATAGATATTTTGATATATTTTTTTTTTCTAATAGTTTAGAACTATTCAATAACTGTTCGGTCAAAATAAACAACTGTTCGGCTTTCATTATCCTGTAATTTAATAATAATTAACTTTTCTTTATAAATCTTAATTAAATGTTATTGCGCATTGATTATCGCTCTCGTGAAAATTCATATTAATTAATAGTTTCTCGATTTTAACCATGACGTGGATATATGTATGGAGCGATAATAAACAAAATACTCCACTTTATACATATTAAGTATTATTTAAAAAAAATATTGTTTTATTTCACTAAAAGTGATTGATTACAGTTGATAAACAAACATTCATCGTTTCTTCTGAGAAAGTTAGTATGAAATGTTGATAATATTGATATAACAATATTGTAGCATAATACTCTTTTTTATTTACTTTCGCAAATTTAATGAAAAATATATTATTATTTTTTGTAGACAAAGGAATGTATTTCATTAAATTTTTTTTTAATGAAACTCTTCAGTGATTTATTCCAAAATAAATTTCGTGAAGCAACTATGACATATTTCTTTGGTAATTTTGGGACCACGTGCTTCCACAATTTTTTACTTAAAATTGCTTGGTCAGTTTTAATTAATTGTCAGTTACAACAATATCAATATCAGAATTATTGTATTAATGAAGTGTACTGATTATTTTAGATTTGAAACCCTAAGTCAGTGAATCTACAAAAAACTCAATAGTTTTAAATTAAGGAACAAAAACAGGTCTGACAAATCATTTATCAAACCAACAAAAAAATGTCGCAGATAAATGTATACAATGAAAAAATTAGCAGAGAAGTTGCGAGTACTTCTGCAGCCACATTATCTGCCTCCAACAGCTTGACAGACCTAGCGAGCCTATAATATGAAAACTGTCATTCGAGATGAATCGCTAATACGGAAATAACTTAATGTTACGCGTCGTTTACGTTATAATTAAAATCTTGTTAACATGTGTTGATGAGACTAATATAAAAACGACGATATTTTTTTAATAAATAGTATGCTGAAGTAAATGTTATTATCGATAAAAAAATATTATTTTTTAACTATTAAAAGTATCGTATCATTAAACTTTATTGTTTTACTTAATATACATAATTTACTTTCTATTTGCAAAGTTTATTTATTAGATTTTGATATTAATTTTTAATTAAAATTCTTTTATATTAATTTTGAAGTAAAAATCTAAGTCAACTTATAATGTAAGTAGTACAGAAAAAATTTGTTAAAGTTTTCGTATTCGAAAATGAAATTATATTATCATCTATTTTAAATGAATAATTAAAAATATTGACTGAGAATGAAAAAGAAATTGGTTCTAGAATATATTGTATCAATATATAAATATATAGTTTGCATGGGACTAATCCTTTTCTATTTTTCTCAATCAATATATTTAATCAGGAATGTTAAAAGAATGGATAAGTACAAGAAATACGACTTTAGATGTTAAGAAAGAGTTCATTTTGTTTGTATAAAATAACAAAATATAAATGAAAGTAAAAACCGGGTGATGATGATGATTTTGTTGTTGCTGCTGTTATTGTTGTGTTGTCTCTTTGAATCGAATTCAAATAGGTAGGCCGCGCATAATTTATGAGAACTATGCGCATTGATACTGCGCATGCGCAATAACATTTAATTAAGATTTATAAAAAAAAGTTAATTATTATTAAATTACAGGATAATGAAAGCCGAACAGTTGTTTATTTTGAACGAACAGTTATTGAATAGTTCTAAACTATTAGAAAAAAAACAATATCAAAATATCTATAGTTCGTGCCAAATTGAGGGTCAATTTGTTTATAATTTAAAAAAAACAAAAACGAACAAAAAATTTTTTTGATAGAACAATGAAGAACAGTTAACGAACAGTTGATAGAGCCAAAAAAAAGTGCAAAAAATTAATTTCCCCCCGCCAACTAAAGAGAGCCGTCCCCACAGACCAAAAGTAGATAATAGGGATAACATATTTAAGTGGTCTATATTTTAAAACCATAGACAAATTGTCTTTGTTAGAGGCGTTACACCTGTCAAAAAGTTATTTTTTTTCCAGCTGTTACTGCTTCAAGTGCATGTTTAAAAAAATTACTATATCATCATAAATATAGGAAAAGTATTTATTTTAACAGATTACGTACCTTTTTATTTTTATATAATATCTCGTTTTTGGTCTTTTTTTTTATTCACTTTCATGTTCTTTCTAGTCTGTGATAAAATTTAACAAATTAGTAAGCCATAAAATCTTTTAAAAAACACAATTAATATGGGCATCACCCATAACTTGACCGGATTTTTAAAAGATCGACCAAAAGTATTCGCTTTCTACAACATTGAAATTTCAAATAGTATTAATATGACAGATAAATATTACATAAAATAAAATAAGAATCGGCTGGTAAACTAAACATCCAAACATGCAATCAAAAATTACAAACACCTAAGAATAATAATGATTACTACTTGATATAGCAAAATCTCCACTGTTCAGACGTATTAAATAAGATTTCAATCCGATCTCTATTCCAATTATTACAAAAATATTCATTACTCATTAGATAATATTTCATTGATTTTTTATATTTAATGATCAGTAGATAGATAGAGATGATCGATAATAGAAAAACATCGATATTGACATCGATGTCATAATCGAAAGCCCAACATCGATATTCGATTTTTTATGAATTTGCAACATATCGATGTTGAATAACATCGATGATTTTTGCATTAATAATTGACGAAGAAATAAAATACAATGAAATGGTTCTTAATTTATTAAGAGCAGAACAAATTATTACATGTTCTGATATTTATTATCAACTGACCGAATGAATAGTAATTTTGATATAGAAGAACATTTTAATCTTTTTCTTTGTTAATAAAGAGTAGTGAGGAAGTGTGAGCCGTAAGAGATAAGAGCGAGTGAGACTACGAAGACCGAACGAAGGGAACGACCGGTGTGCAGTGGATGAGTACGTGTTCAAAATTTTAATAAACCTGCTTTGTGGATGCCTTCATAGAAGACATAATTTGTTTCGTTAATTGCATTGGCCGTGAGTTAACATCGATGTTACGATATTTTTCGTATAGCAATATCGATGTTTTTGCTTTCAACATCGATAATCATCGAGCATCCCTATTACTCATTATTTCATTCATGTCATTTGTCAGTTGTCACAACTTACAAGTTCTAGACAATATTTGCTTTGCCCAAACTCCAGTTACAATTATTGAACATATATTTATAATTTATTTATTAACTAATGACCAAATATATATAATAAAAGAAAATTAGAAAATTTTAGTTATTATTTTTTTAATTAAAGTTATTTTAATTAAATTTTAGTTGACGTAACCCACAACGAGACCTTTGCGTTATACAAACTAAACAATAAATATTTTTATTTGGTACTCGAAAAGTTTCAAGACTGGATGCGACGGGCTAATAGCAGTATAAATATTTATTAATTTCAAAGCTAATTTACGAAAATTTACCTCTTGATAATATTTATTAGATTTTAGCATGGAGTCGTCATCTATTGTAAGCTTTAATAATGATTCAACTTATCAGACCACCGTGAAAGGCGACTATAATAACATCAGTGTTCACGAACTAGCCCTTCATGCGATGCGAGACAGGTGCTTACTTCTCCAAAGAAGAATAAATTCATTGGAAAGTGACAATATAAAACTGAAACTTGATATAACTAAACTCACTGAAAATGCATCATATACACCACTTAGAGATGAGGAGAAGTGTGCATTACAAGAAAAAATTGCTGAATTAAACAAACAAAAATCGCAACTATTACATCATGTATTCATGGTTTCTTGTGAAAATAAAAACCTGTGGACTAAAATTGCTACATTGAAAGGACCAGAAAAAAAAGAATACACAAAGCAACCATTAGTTCGTACTAATACATATATTCAAAGCAATCCTAAAACTGCACAATTTCAAGAAAAATTTCCAGAACCAAGTTTAGAAGAAATTTCATTAAAGTTAATCAATAGCTTCCTCCAAGAGAAGTCTCAATTGGTTGATCAGTATGAACAAATGACACAACTTCAAGGAATGGAAGATGACTGTATTCTGAATCTTGATTCTATAGGATTTCATTACATGGAAGATCCATCAACAGATTCTTTAAAAGAGATTCAGACACAAGCTGAAAAGTTTCAATCATTAAAAAAAGAGGTTGCACAGCAAGAAAAGGACTTAAAAAGTGTGATAGCTAGATTAGAAAGTTTATTGAGTGGTAAGTTCAATTATTATGTTTTTTTTATAATTATTTATAACCATATCTTTGGAGATTAACCCCAAAACCGCTGTTATTGAAACTGCAACTAAAAAGATTTCTACTAGTTAATATTATACTGACTGTTTGGAATAAAAAAAATGAATTCACACTTAATCAATAGTTCTTTAAAACATTGTTTTATATAATAAAATAAAATGTACTTTTTGCAGATGGCTATATGTGTCTAACATGTAAAACAAACAAAGGGAAGCCTATTGAAATGGAAGACAAGGAAACTGAAGTCATCAATAATTTAGTTAATTTTGCAACACAAACTGATTCCATATTATTTGATTTTTCGGACTTTAATAGTACATTGGATAAAGGATGTTCAGAAAGCAACGAAAATAAACAAGAAACTTATGATAAAATTTGTCCAATGTGTGGTGAAACTTATAAAGAAGATGTAGGCTTTGCAGACTTCCAGTCACATGTAGAGAGTCACTTTATTGGTGTTACAGAGACTGATTCATTAGAAAATTTAGACATTCATAACTCATTTGAAAATGTTATTTAATATTGTCTATAATGTAAGCTTTGTTGTATTAAAACAATGGTTTCAATGTTGAGCTGCATTAATCTAATAAAAATGTAATTTAATTAGCATGTATAATAATACATAATTCATAATAATGAATGATCAGATATTAACCTGTTACATAATATATTATGATATATAAAATTGTTTAAATGGATATGGCTTTGATATTAGAATTATGCCATTAAAGGAAGAACTAACAGTATAGAAAGCAGCTGTTAACTTGTTTTGTTAAGTCAAGATCACACATTCCATATGCATTGTAGCATAATTGTCACAGATCTTGTAACCATTATATGTTGTTACATAGCAATGTAATTCATTATTATACTTTGACAATTTTCAAGAATAAGCAAATGAAAAAGCTAAATCTAGTAGTGACAATATGATTCATAAAAAATAAACTTCTTTGTACTTGACTAATTTCATTCTATAATATATGTCATATATAGTATTTTTAAGCTAAATCTGTAGGTTTCACATCAGTAGATTCAGATGGTTGCTGTGTAGTTTTTTGCAGAAGATTTTTACTGAAAAATTGTGGTCTTTCCTTTTTCATTTCTATGATCCTTTTTCCTTGCCAAAACTCTTTAGGCTGAAAATTTAAGTTATGATATAATAACATTATATTATATGTGTGTAGTGTCCACTAAGTTTCTGCACTTAAGACACTCATTTTGGTCTGTTATGCATTATAAAAACATTATCTCTCCAGTACCTGTTTTCACTCCTAATAATAATTTATAATTGGCTTTTAGGTTCCAATATTTACTAAGTATTTTATTATACAGACAATCCTATGAACAATATGCTGGTGCCAGCTGAGTCTGCTCCATGTTTATAATTAAATAGTATTATTTTATAACATGCAAAAAATATTTTTACTTACTAATAAATTAGTTAAAATGATATAGATTTGTATGTGCATGAGTAAAAGGTTTTAATTTAAACTGTTTCTTAAGTTTGTCATGTAGGTTTCACTGCAAACTTGTATTTATAGATTTCAATTGCAATCTTAATATATTAAAGTATGTATACCTGATCTGGTAAGTTTTCACCATCATACAAGACAATAACATCATTTTCAATAGGTTTATTTGCTAGTTTTTCTACTATTTTCTCTTGTATTTCTTTTGTTTCAGCTTCAACCTTTTTGTAACAGTGACCTGTTTATTAGATATAGTTAATTAATAATATTTATATTGTTAAATGTAATTTTGTTTTAAAAATGTTATATTACCACATAGTCTTCCCCTTTCATGGTAGTGACCACAATCCTGACAGACTTTTATGTTCGTCTGGGGGACAAGCATTTTCCATACATACTGAGGTGATCCATATTTTCTTTTCAACCTTTTCTCTAATGTTCGTCTAAATTTTGGTACTGCTAATAGAAATCCATCACCAACTATGTCTTTGAGTGTATCTCTCTTTTGCTGTGGTACCGACTTCTCGTGCACATATGCTAGAGCTAGCTCTGAAAATGAACAATATTACATTTGAACAGAAAAGGTTACTTTTTATCGTTTACTTAGCGAAATTCCGGATATTACCTTTTGGCGGATGACCAAAGAAATGTTTTAAAATGTTTCTTTCTAATACTTCAAAAAAGTTAAAAACGTTTCGTGTCACTCTAGGAATCATATTAAATTTGCAGAAAATTTAATCACTTAAATTTATACTTCGCAGGTATATTTTCGATAATTAAACAATTAATATAATGACATACATTAAAAAAAAAAGTTTTTACGTTGATAGATTTAAGGTAAAAACTAAAAGGTTATGTTCAGTGTTCACAGAACACTATTACTTCTAGCGAGTGTAAGCTATAAGCTGTTTACCACAGATCAAGTCTGTTTTCACGGTATTCTCACATTACAAAACTTATTCTTGTGCTACTGATGGTATTACTATGTGATAATTGATATGAAACTCAGGAAGTAAAGATCACTTTTTCAGTACGTTTCATGTTATTTAATCTTTATAAACTTTGATCTAAAATTAATTAATGAAATACATTATTATATTAAATAAATTTAATAGTTTCTTGTATAAATTACAAAATAACATATCTGTGGATAAGCTTGACAGTGATGTCAAAAATTTTTGACGTGACATTTCATTATCAATCAGAATCAGCTGTCGTAAGTTACAAGGAGGGAGTAAAAGGCCGAGTTCTTGTTTGATAGCAAGATATGTAGGTAGTTCATGTCTTCAAACGTTACGTTGCAGTTGTAGTTATGGCGTGTTTAAGTTCTAGTAGGCTCTGTGCTCGTGTTCAGGATAAGTTTATGTGTCAATTCGGGCCTAAAGTTAGAAGGCAGACTGTATTTGTGAAACTTAAACCTCCCGGACCAACACCATTGCGGATATTTGGAAAGACATGTCAGGTTAGTTAAATAATTGTACTTACTAATTTCATGATTATCTTTACTGTATTTACTTAATAAAATTCCTACTGTACTTGTACATCGTTGGATAAAAACAAAACTCTTACAAGTTAGTTTTCTGACAGCTTACCTTTTTACATAACAGCATGACATTAACCTATAAGTCAGCTGATCTAATTCGTATTTTTCTTACACAATTTATGAATGAGTCCGTCTATGATACTTTTTAGAAATTTATGTTATATTACTACTACTACATAAATTTATTTTGTAATATAAAGATATTTATAAAATTACCCATATACCACATACCCTGTGATTGTTGCTAATAAAAACATTGATAAAATAAAAGTGAAACTACGTTTCGTCGCAGTAGGTACAGTAGTAGTAGGTCGGTTAGCGGCACTGGGCACAGGTTTCTTGAGTTTGTTCGCCGATTTTCTCCATGTTAATAACTTTTACTTTCGACAAATAAACTCTCGCCCCTTTCTTTACCTAGTATTATGTTAATTCGATAAATTACTAGCCAAATATGCAGCCACTGGTTTTATTCTCGATTCCATTTGCGACTAATTTTTAGGATAATAAAAAAAGTATTATATAAATTGTGATTATTTTCAGAAGCACAAAACTGTAGGTTAGTAGTACTAGTAACAAGACATTATTTTAATTTTCAGCTCCGTTATCACAAACGTCCTTAGAAACTTAGAATAGAGACAATGCATAGGATCCCATTTTATACACCATATAAAATTAGTATACGTATATAAAGATAGAATAATCATTAGAACCTTGATCTGAGTTCGATCGCGACTCTTCGTGCTTTCTCGAGCAGCGTGCGAGCATGCAATGAAAAATCTTTATACTCATACAGTATAGTGGACTTTCTAAACAACAATTATTTTTCACATTAATATTCCATTTAGTTTCTTCTTCAATTGAATAATTCGCCCATTGATTACAATGAACGTTTTCATTAGAGTTGAAGGGAAAAATTTATAAATATTGTAGTATCCTTGTTAGTATCCTTAATTACGTGTAATAGTAATGTTGTTCTGTAGCATTAAATAAGAATTACATCAAATAGAGTTTATTATGTCATTATATATTATATTGTTGAAAAACAGTCGGTCATAGTTTATAGTCATTGTCGCACTAGGGAAGTATTGCTCATGTAAACAATTTTACTTAGTGAAAGTTGTGAAATTATTCGACGAATTTTTAATAACTCCGAAACTGGGTAAGCCACCTGACTTGTTAACGTCACGTAGCAGGCGTCGCTGTTTGGTTGATAGCCTTTCTTATTTTATTCTAGTTTTCGCGAACATTGACCTCGTTTAATAAAGAATGGCTACTAGCTATTCTTTACAAAATTTTTGATTTGATAAAAATTGATTACTCCTTACAAACATTGTGTAAAACAAAAAACTTGGCTATTAAAAAGAGTTACGGAGAGTTTATTACTAGTTCTTCTCTTCCGTCCTACGCCTGATTTGAGAACTGGCAGTAAATGTAAAATTAGAAGAATTTCATATTATATTTCTTTTTTTACGCTCATAAGTGTACATTGTGTTACAAATATGAATAAATATTTGTAATATATATTCAAAATACTAGTTTAATTTTATTGTAAAATTTTCAAAATATAACATTTAAAACTGTCTGAAATTGTCAGATAAAAAACCCCATAGACTCGAAAGTAACTCAGACTAACAACTCCGTAACGAAACCACGAAAACTTCGTAGTACAGTCTTTAGTCACTCATTTCAGTTCGTTTTTGTTTTGATAAGGTAATAATTAATATGTATAAAACTCAGTTCAATAAATCGCACGTAATGAAGCTCACTAGAAATGCGGAACACACAACTATTTGTTCAGTCGACATTATTGTATAAGAGTTTGCAACAACGCATGCGACGCAGCATATGTTATTTTCGACTTACAACATTTTCTTTGATTCTTACGTGATTACAATACATATTTTTAGGCGCAAAAAGCAGTATTTGCTGTCACAATATTGTTACTATAATGTCGCTATAACTTCTATTGACATATATAGCTATCAACTCTTCAGAACGATAAATTTGTATTTTTCGCAATCAATCAATTTATACTGTTAATGGTAGATATAGAATTTGATGATGTAAAGGTCATCATAGTTCTCACACGAAACTGTGGTTTTACGATTGTGACATGCAGGCCCCTCCTACATTTTGTAATTATTTATTGTTAATCTAATTCACTGTCCGTCTCAGTGGAATACATAAGAACATTTTTCGTCTAACTGAAAGTCGAAATGGTGTTTTTCAGATATACTTAAATAATACTGTCTCACTCATTAAAATAACACTCACATTAGACCGTTATTTAAATGAATGCGATATAATTCATAGGGTAATTTTCGATGTAATTATTGTCATAACATAAATATTATAAGGTGCTTAAAATGTGTAATTAAAATGGTATGTATTAAAGTGCAAAATCAACGACAATCTGCGTTACTAAATGTCCTTCTAAATACAATTAGACGGTTGAGCAACTACACTTAATTCGACTTGCAAACAATAAAATCATCTGTAAACGCAATATTAATTACTGACATAAATTTGGGCGTGTAGTTAATTTTGCATTAAATAAATTTTCACAGTATTGTTTGTTGTTTGTTTAATCAAATACACTTGAAAATGTAATTTAAGGTGCTTCACAAAAGATTTTGAATAATTACTGTAAATATGTAATAAAAATTACTTTAAATCCGAAGTGCACGCTACTATTTGGAACCAGCTGCCCACTAAATTATTCTACTTCGACGGCCGCCAACTTGCGAGCCTTGTGGCTGTGTGTCTATGGCTTTTATTTGTCAAATTATAAATTAATTGATCAATATCTGATAGCGCAATTGTATTTTCTTATCGAATTTTAAGATTTACTGAATATTTTTGATTTTATATTCCACTACATTAAGACTACAAAAAATGCATTTAGTATGTTATAACTAATTAGTAAGGGAACGCCAGTTGACCAATATTTTGAAAGCGTTTCAGCTCACGGTGATAATTATTAAAAAAATATACAGTTTAAGAATTTTGAGAGCGTAACCGGTGTGTGTTGCAAAACACGACACTAATCACTAGAAATACTTAGGACGAAGGTAATATAATTCATATACTTATACCTACCACGCGGACGTAGAGTATTCACTCCTAAATGTTAGAATTTCATATTTATTTAAAAAAAAAACATTTTCTAATTAATTGATGGTACGTGATTATTTATGTATATATCATATTAATATATATTTGTTTGTCATATATAACTTTACTGTGACGCATTTCTTACTCAGAAACTATTAATTTGTAGTTTAATATTAACATAAAGCAAACCTTTTAACGATAATAATTAAAGATGTGGTTTATATTAATGTATATTTATTCAAAGGTACATTATTTCAAATACTCAAAGGCTAATCAATAATAAAATGTCATAGACGCACATGTAAAAATACAATTACTACCACGATATTTTGGCTGTGGCTTTGTGAAGTTGCAGTAGATTTGAACTAAAGTTATGTACTATAAAGGTTTCATTTTAACCCCATAGTGGTTAATATTTTTATTAAATATAAAAAATTGGTTTGTCCATTTTTGTATTTCTTAACCCAGTACTAACGATTCCGTTGTTACTATTCTAGCTACAAATGTTCATCTAAGTATAAATTGTAAAAGCTCATTTGTCCTTCGATTTTAACCTTTCATTCGATGGAGCGGTCTTTGACCGAGTTACCGGTTGGCTCGTACCTCAATTATTATAACCTCCAATTACCCTATTTCGATATCTAGAGAACGGATTTATTGAAAGGAACTTAATAGAAAATAAGTTTTCAAATTCTTGACGTATAAATGTAGAATTCTTGCAAATGTCAAATATTTTTGAGTGCATTGTAATGTTTTGAACTTTTTCTATGGAAATAATTCGATTAATTATTATTAAACGCTTTTACTACTTCTACATACAGTGATTTCTAAAAAAGCTTATAACCTTTGTTAGCTTGAGCGGTGTTATGTTGCTGAAATATTTAACCTTTCGTGACAAAAGAAGCAATTTTATTAAAATACAAAATGCTAGTTGAAAAGGCCCTGACCAACATAAAATATTGTAAATACAATAGATATTTTAAACAAGATACTGATATTACAACTCCTTATATAGAAAGTAAACAAAGGGACAATAAATTTAATTTTTATTGCGATTAATTTCGACGATAAATACAGTAAATATAAAAAAACCTACGGAGTGTATAAATGGTCAAGTATAAAATTGATTGCAGAAGATGACTTTATACAACCTATAACAAGAAAGTAAAGTACTCTAAAGTTGAATTCTTCCTTCAAGGTTATAGGCATGTCCGGCTAGGGTGAATTACCGAGATAACTTATTTAAATGTACACGGAAAATTCTCCTCTTTAATGTTATTGCTTTTGACAGGGTATTTACTTGTTAAAAGAATCCCTGTAATGCGGAAACAATTAGTGTTGTTAACTTATGATTTTTATTACAGGCTTTCGTTGCTTTTTAATACTTTTACTATATTGTATGGCGTTTAAACTCTCTGCGTTAAAAAATTTTAATTAAATAATTATAAGCTTAAAGTAGAGTGTACTGTAATGTGAATCAAATCAATAATTATACAATATCACTATAGTCAACTACTTATTAGCATTCTAAAATCATGTTACATGCGTTTGCGCACTGTTAGCGCGTTTATGTCTTTAACTCGTAAAGCTTGTAGCGGACAAGTGAACCGTAGCGTTATCTACGGACTGTTTTTTTAATTAAAGTGGATTTGTTAGATTTTAAATTAACTTCGAAATAAATTTGTGTAGTTTATACTAATCATAAGTAACTGTCAACTTTGTTTCTGGGATGAAATTTCAAGAGTTAACGGACATTTAGTAAGATTGTCTTCTTTAGAAAATCTTCATATGTCCAATTTTTTTCT